CCTGTGTTTCCTGATCAAGTCTCTCCCACACGGTCCCAACGCCGCGAGATCGTGCTTTCTCACACAGTCCCGAAGCTGCGAGATCGTGCTCTCCCACACAGTCCCACAACCAGAAGCCCAATGTGTTGGAGCGAAAAATTTATATCTTTCTATGTATGTGTGTGTGTGTGCATATGAATATATATATATATAATACATACGTTCTCTACAATCACTCGCTGTATTTTTGAATATTTCACATATAGAGTATATGAAAAGCGTATGCATTATTGATAGTACAGGTTCAATCAAAATGTACATAAACAGCTTGTGTATGTGTACATATATACATACATATATATATATAGATAAGTAAGCATGAATACATACATACATACATACATACATATATACATACATACATGCTTTTACTTTCGGCGTTGCGGAAGTCTCGCTTGGTGCCAAATGCAAAATCACCACGAGACCATTCACTTCTGAAAGTGTAAAACAACATGTGCAAGTCACCATGGTTGTGAACCACGGTTCGTTTGGACGTAAGAACAGCTTCGACGTCATCATCAGCAAGGCACGCTCTGCGACCGTCATCATACAACAAAGCTAAGTAATGACCACATTCCGGAGTAAGATCTTTATGGATCAGAGCGCGCGCAGGTGGTATCAAAACTGTCTCATGTTCATGTTGTCAACGAAGACAGGGAACTCCAAGTAAGGCTCCGGCAAAAGCGAACTTACGCTAACAGTCCTATCCTCACCACGTGGGTATTCGAACCTGCCCACCTGCACAACCAAGACTACTGTAACGCATGCATGGCTTGTTGGGTGTGCCAAGCATTCAGCATCTCTTGCATCGACACACTATACACATCCCCCTGCAGGTTTTGCTCAGGAGGTTGTATCAGAAGTGGAGTGGAGTCTCCCCCATCCACCCGCACGAATGACTCCCCCTGCTGTATTGTGGCCTGCCAGTGCATGTGCAGTTGGTCCATGACATACTGTTGTTTGCTAAGGAAAAACTGAAGGAACTCGGCCCAACCATGTTGTTGAGCAGGGCGTTGCCACCCAATCACCCAAGGGCGCCCCCCCTTCCAAAAACTTAATGGCCACAGGAGAAGACAAATAATGGGCACAGCAAGTCAGCAAGTTTCCACTTTTCCAGATAGTGTACATCAGATAGTTTGAGCATGTCAATGCACCAAAGACCAGGTGTACCCTACGAACACCACCAAATACTAGGGTTTCCTTAGCAAAACCAGGGAAACCACGAAAGGTACCATACCGCACACCACCAAGGCAACCAGCCAAAAAGGAACGACACACACAAACACACCCTGACGGAAATAAAACTGCATGCTTTCTTCCGCCCTGTCCTGAAAGTAGATGCATACTTCATACACTTTAACAAGCCTGGTGCACGATCAGGAGATTGTGAATGTCCGGGGGTCAAGGCTTTACCCCGTTGTCGGCGTGAGGGCTGCAAGCATCACGGTCAAGAAGTTGCTTCACTGCGCGTCGTCAAAGGAGAGTCCGCCGGAGTGGCTTTGTACCGCGCCACACATGACATGACCGTGCAGCGGACTTGCCGACAGCAGCTTTCCGTGCCTAGTCAAGAGGTTCATACACACAGACGGTAGACTTAGACGTTCCTTAAGTGCAGGTATCTCGCAGGGACAGGAGTCAACGAACTGAGGGTGGGCGGTGGTTGGCGTGCAGGCACTAGGTCGAGCGTCGTGGAGGACAAGTGCAAATCTTAGCAGTTGAGAGGCATACCGGGTGTGCTGTGGCGGAGGTGCAAGTGGTGATGGGTAAGGTTCACACGGGAGAGGGTGCATGTATGTTGTTGGTTATGTGACTGAATAGAGAACCATGCACATTCCTCCGACAACAGGATGAACAGAGAATCAGAAGAGCTTCGAGTAAGTCGTAGCAGCTGTTGAGATTAACGTCGGATGGAGTACCGAATGAAGAAAAGCGGCAGGCGGAACAAATGATTCTGCCAGCCCAGACCATGGCCACATCGTAAACGAGACAATGCCGAGAGCCGCAGAGCTCGAATAGCATGGCCTTGTCCAGAGTAAGCCCACGCTGCTCTGCCAAGAGGCCGAGAGGCCGAATAGCGTCAGGCAAGTTGAGTGACAAAATGCGCGCGGAACTGTAGCGAGAGCAGAACTTGTGCTTTCGAGTGCAAGCGACTGTATTGCATTTGTGGCTTGGAATTGCATGAGAAAGGTTGCATACACGGATAGCTTGCGAATGTCGATGCTTTGCAGTACTTCATCTGTGCAGGTTCAGCGGATGCCTTGAACAGAGTCAGAGGCACGATCCCGTAAGCTATATATGCTGAACTCAAGGCAGATAAGCATGGGTATCGAAGGTCTGATCGAGGAGATGATTGCTCGCGCCTCGGGACTGTAAGTGTTCCAAGTGTCTCCTGATGTTTCTGCCTATATGCCTCTCCCTCAGGGCCGCCTGCAGTCGGAAGCCCATGCAGAAGCAGATCATCAGGTGTACGGGGCTTGCGGTATGTGTGAGATCATGCAACTGTCGTGCAATATCTCAATGGGCCCATGACAGTCAGGGTATGTGTCTGCCTATAAGTATTGCGCAACTACTTAGTTGAATATGACTTATAGTAATGCATTCCATTGGGTGCACCCTTGCAAATCTTGTAGATGTGGATAGCCTTGCTATGCGCCAATATACAATGTAAGCAGACAAGCAAACACATATGGGTAGGTAGTTTGCCCTCACTCCTGCATTGTTGGGTTTTTGTGTGGTTCTGGTGCCGTTCCAGGGTCCTGCTGCGTTTGCTTCAGAAACAGCCCCATTAAAATTAATCCAATCATTCTGTCCAGATGTACTTGGGAGGCACTAGCCTATTAAGCCATTAAGCCGCTACCTTGGACTTGGGAGTGGGATCCATCCGCACTTGAGCAAGTCATTGGGTCAGCGGGTTACTGGGATAGACTAGGCTCTGATCCCAATTCCACCTGGCCAGAACTATTGGATTAATGGCTTCATGGGTTGTGGGTCATATGTCTACAGGCAGGCATGAGTTTTCAAAACAAAACGCGTGTTTCGCAACGCTCACTTGCTAGTGACCCCTGCAGCTCAAAGAATACATAAAATCAGAGTTGTGTCATGGACAGATCTGTACACGCGGTCAGGCCTTTGGCCTTAGGAGTATGAGAATAGACCGCAAACACCTTGAAGCTTAGTTTGGTTAACCAAGGTCTTTGAAAGTCGAAGCCCCGAAAAGGCACAAAACCAGTAGGATGCTCGGGTTATACCACGAGATTGTGCTGCGTTAAACCATGCTACATTACCATATACCATATGACAGACTATGTAGCATATCGTGCGGTCTCACGCTCTACTATATTATCTTGTATGTGTCAGAACAAGCAGCACAACAAGGCGTCGTTGCTTTTTCGGTTCACGAAGATCTTGGAGAGTAGAGCTTCCGAAACACAAAACGCCAGTAGGAGTTTTAGCTCACTTTATGTTATATAATGCCATATTGAACTTTCTAGTCTTATGTTGCAAACTATTTGAAGTGTTCTATTCTCCTCTATTCCGTTCTGGGACAGTCTTGAACAATGGTACTTTACTGAGCTATACTATACTATACTATGCTGTGCGATACTGTGCTATGTTACACTATAGAATTTAGTCTAGCCTGTCTAATTGACTACATTATAGAGTATACCATGGACATTACGATATACCCACGACATACTACAACAGATACAATATATATATATATACATATATATATAGAGTGTCATATGCTATACTATACGTTGAAGTATATACTATACTATCTCCCACAGTATATACTTCTCTCAGCTAACTTCAATTACACTAAACTGTGCTATATTTCTGCTAATTCTCATATTCTGATTGCACGCTGCTTAAGATCATGTGTTGGCCACTATGTGGTAGCACTTTTTCTTCACTGCTTGTATGTTATGTGTTATGTACTCTTGCAAGCATTATGTGCTATGGGCTATGGGCCTTTCAGCCGTATAAGAAATGAAGTAGTATGTCATGTGATTTAAGCTGTTTTGCTGTATTTGATCACGCAGTAGAATGTTAGCAAAAACTTTGTTTGTCATTATAGCACCTTACCCTATACCTTATCATGTTGTATCACAATATTCGGTGTTATGTGAAATATCATGTTTCGATGTTTTTGATATTTGCATATTAGCATGAATGCTTGAAAACATGTTCTTCGTATCACACCGTATCTGCTGCCATTAAGTTGTAGTATGTCAATGGAATTCAATGGATATACATGTAGGTGTAAATTCCATTCTTTATTATATTACATGTGACACCGCATATATGTTATGCTATGTCGTATTATGCCGTATTGCATTGGATCAAGGTATGCTTAGTTTGCCATGACATAGTGCCCTTCATGCTCGACTCGAGGTGCCCAACAGGAACGCCGAGAGCCAACCGATGTATGTGTGGGCTTTGGCTTGGTGTGGCGTCGCGCATTTAATTGGGGCCACACTTCGGCCGGCGAAGATGGGGCGCTCGCCGCTGGCGATCGAGATCGCGCGGCTCCTTCAGCACGTGTAAATACCAAAGAGGGCGAGATCCTCAGCCTCAGCTTGATCAGTGCCAGCAACCACTGCTTTGCAAATGCAAACTCTGTCATCCCTCCTTTGATGTGGCTCGAGAGTCTGCTCTTTCCTTAGGCACCCCGTTCTTTGCATTGCCGTTGGCAAGATGCACAGGCTGGCTTCTGCGCAAGCCTCAACATGTGGTCATTCGTGCATGGCTCTCCCACTCCCTCCCACTCCCACGTACAAGGGTGGGCTGACCACCACTCCCAGCACGATGTGCCAGCCCTGCACTCAAACTCCAAGTGACGGATCATGGAAATATGTGGCCAGTGGCATTGCCGACCGCTCTGTGCCCTGGCACTGGCCCACAGAGTGTGCAGAGACTCATTCCTGCTTGGAAAAAAACCAGGCACACCGTCACGCTGCTGCGAGCTTGAAACAGGTGTGCTCCCAGGGCAGTTGTGCCGCTTGAGTCCAGCACGACATAACATGAACAAAAAATCACAGGGGTGGTTCCCAAGGTGTATGTGTCACTCTTCACCGACGAAGGGGTTCAACCAACATCCCGAGCATACCAGCGGACAGCGGTCATTTATCGCACGGCCTTGCTTCTGACTGGCTGCGGGCATGCCTTATCGGATGACAAGATCACATCACCCCACAACCCGTCAGTCCCACCGACATGCAAGTCGTAGCAGCGCGCTGTTATATCTTTTTCCTCCAATGAGGGCTTTAAACATGGCCTGAGTTGCCCAGCTCGCTGCACGAAGGGCGTCCGTGCCGGGCGAGCCGTGATGATTTAGCCTATTGTGGAGTGTTATGTCGTTTCTTTTTCTTACTGTCATTCTTATTGTTTCCGCATCTTGGGGCGGCTGCGATTTTAAGTGTCCGGGAGCTGAACACCAGCTTGCGTCCGCCAGACGGCTGTCCTCCATGATTGCCTGGACCGCATTGCAGGACTTTGTTGCAGCGAGAAGACAAGTCCTTGGAGGTTCATGGGATTTAGTAATTGGTGTCATAACTCAGGTAACTACATGTATAATTGGTTGTAGTCCCAGTTAGAGTCCTTGTAACACTAACTAAGTCCAATGAACCTCCAACATATGTATGTATGAGCCTACGTACGTAGGTATGAATGAATGAATGTATGTACGTATGCATGTATGTATGCATGTAGGTATGTACGCATGCGGGAAAGCGAGAACAATCTCGAGCGGTTGTCGCATCCCCACACGGCATCCAGGTTTTGAGTTATGAGGGCACCGAGCAACTGCGTGCAGTCTAAAGAGCTGCCGACTGTCAGACCTCCCAGCAACACGAGACACGTTCTTGCGGTGGGGGAAGAGGAAGTATGTGTATATAAGCACATATATATACCCATATACATATGCATGCATGTATGCATGTATGTATGTATGGATGTATGGATGTATGCATGTACGCATGTATGTATGTATGCATGCATGTATGAATGTATGATGTATGTACGATGTATGTATGTCCATATACGCACGCATACAGACTATGCACGCATATTCGTAAGCTCGTCTTTTCAAGGCCTTCATACCGCACGTATCAGCAAAATTCTCACAGGTGAGCTTTTTTCTGGTGCCACTTCGCGAGCTGTTTGTTGGGATTTGGAGGGTCCAGGCTTGTCTCATCCTACGAAGGGGCTGTTGAGGACGGGGGCCACAGGCTGGATGCTCGGTTCTCGCTTTGGACGACTGCGGCATGGGACGTGGGAAGTTGTGGGGTGCGTATAGAAACAGCTTCTGTGTGCGAAGCAAGTGAAACCAGCAATGAGTCCCCACGCAGGCTTTCTGCGACAAGGAGATGTCGCTGGCTTCGGTGAAGCGCTTCGAACTCGAGAGCGACTGAGCAATTGAAGGGTCTGGACGTGAGAATCTCCGAGGTGACGATAAACAATCAGATGTTGACAAGCTTTCGTCAGAAGCTTACTCATGCTTCTGTGATGGGGGTCGTCCAATCTGCTCAGCACGAGCCTGGGCGAGGGTGCATGAGCCATGAGCTGACATGAGCTGACATAAGGACGAAGATGGAAAAAGCGAGGTCAGAGCTTACGCTTTTGTCACAACAGTCTTCGAGACTGCGACAGGATCGAGTGCATGCTTTGAACTTGTTGCTTTTCCTTTCAGGCACTCTTCTGCTATTAAGCATGCTGTCCCACCTGCAGCTGTCCTGGCATGACGTTGCAAGACTGATGCAAAGCGGGATTACAAGGCACAGTGCTTGAACATGCAGTCCGCCGGTCGGACATACCCCTGCCATTGGGTGTCAGGGGGAGCCCCGGAAGAGCCCGAAGGGACATTGGATCTTGGTGGTCTGATTGCATGCCTCCTTGGCCACAACATGTCTCATTGCTTGCGTGGTGCTTCGTGGCTAAGTATCATGAAGGAGGACGCAGAGCAGCAACGCGCCGGCATGGTTTGGTGGTGTACGGCAAACCATCAGAGAGGCCAGCTCATCAACCCAGCCGTGGCAAAACGAAGGCAGAAGGCCCACGGCACCGATGCATCTTCAAGGGTTTCAACAGCGCAGATGACTCATTACTGTTGTCTTGAGTCACCTGTAAACCTGCATCTGTTGGAAGTCGTCGGCATCTGGTGACAAGCTCGGCCGAGGACCACGAGAATGGGACGGTCGGAAGAGCAAAGCTGAAGGCCAACGCCTAGAACGAAGCCAAGAGCTGAAGAGTTGATGCCAACACGGTTAAATGACCAGAGAGGTGGGACATCACTTGTAAGACGAAACCGCAACTACTTCACTGAAGTTGCGGTGGATGGCACAAGGTCTACTGTACCCATTTCATGCTTGGAAGCAGAGATGCAGGCAGATGCTCTCGGTGCTCATCAGCTTCCGGGCTTTACCAACTGGCCTTCAATCAAGTATGCTGTTATGGTGGGAGGATCTCGCCACACATACTAAGATACTACTTACTGACTGTGTTTCAAGTCACATTCGTTTCCGAAGGGACTGATTGCAGCACAACAGCTAGAGCTCTTCTCGCCCAGTTCGGCAAACCACTTTCCGTCCAGTCAGTTCATCGCCTACTCTGCTGAGATTCCGCCACCCATGCTCTTCAATGCTTGTTGAGCGCTCCAGGTATGTCAGCTCATGCAAACGGACTTCGAAGGGGACTGCTTCAAGCGAGCTGGATCCGTTTGTATTTGCAAGAGCGGCACAACCTTTTTGGGCTGTCCTCCAAGACATGCTCGACTGCATGGCATGCCTGGCATGGCTCGCTTCGGCTTCAACTGCAAGGCCGCCAAAGCTGAGCGGCAGTCGCCTTGGTCCCTCAAATTTGTGGAGTATAGCCGTTCTTCCATCAGGGAGAAACGTGTGATTGTTTCCACTCCCTCTCTCTCTCTCTCTCTCTCATTTTACACAGGAGTCATTTTCTTGTTTTTTCGAAAATGTAAATTTAACCGGATATCCGGGACACTTTTTCCAGAGTTTCCGATGCAGGCGTCTCATCCCACCAGCTTCCGCGGCGGGGTCTAGTAGGTTCTCGGACTTTTGGCAACCATGGGCTCGGAAAAGGCGTGTCGAAACAGCTTTGCGTCTTGTCAGCTGAGGAAGCAAAAGGAAACCCAGCCACGGAACTCGTGCCCTGTGAGATCCATGTGACAGTCGCAGGAACTAGCTGACCTCGCGCAGTCAAGCGCTGAACTGGACAAGGCACGATCACCCATTAAATTATATTTGGTGAGACGACTGCTGATGTGAAGCGTTGCTGTGGGTAGAGGTCCGGCAGGAGGAGAAAGTCTTGTTTGAGAAAGCGCACAAAGACACGCAGGACTCCCCGTCGATGTCCGTGCAAAGATACTTTCACAACATGTGTCTATGTGAGATTATATACATATCCAACTACCTCAGCTGTCAATCGCTTTTCCAGGAGGGCTTGGAGGGTCTACGAATGGCTTTGCAGGTGTTGTATGGGCCTCAAACTTAGGCGAAGGATGGTGATGGTTGACGTCGAACGGCCAGGCAAGAACATATTTCCCGTGGCAGGAGAACGTTTTATGCAAAAATCGGTGGCTCCACAGGCATGTGCCTCAGCTCCGTTGCTTCTTGTAGTAGGCTCCCGCAGACTGTTGACAGGCCGGAGTGGCCATGCCGTCAGCACCCGAGTCAGATTGGCAGGGTCTCAACTGGCTAAGGAAGCCTTTTGCGTGTCGGGCACAGGCGCGCAGCGCGCAAAAAGACGAAAACCACGAAACACGCGAAAAACGCAAAGGAGACGAAACACGATCAGTCGAACAAAACACGCAAAAACGAGAAACATGCGAAAAACGCGAAGAATGCCAAGCCCGGTTCTATTACTATTACTACTATTATCATTATACTAGTACTAGGACTAGTGCTAATGCTAGTACTAATTAGTGTTTTTTTGAGTTTAACGTTTTTGTAGTTTTTCGTGTTTGTTTTAGTGTTTTTGGTGTTCTTTAGCGTTTTTCACGCTTTTAGCGCTTGTCGCGTCTTTTGTCGCGTTTCTCGCCTTTTCCGTATTTTCACGATACTCTTATCACTACTACTACGACGATGACGACTATTATTCTTGTTCTTATTATGATTACTAGTATTATGTATATTATCTTATGTTATACTATATTCTATTCCACTTTATTCTGTTATGTTATGTTATATTAT